TTAATAATTCTGCATTTTCTAGGGTTTTCTAGGAAGGCAAAGGGGAATAACAGAACCAGGATTACATTAAATGTTGTTGTTTAAAAAACGTATAATGTACTTAGAAACTGATATATTCTTAGAAAAGGAAAACAGTACCGGAGTTCTCTGCTAGTTTCAAGAATATAGTTTGCAGAATTACGATATCAGTTTTGGCATCTTTTTGTTTTATAAGAGTCAGAAGTGTAGGATAGCAAAACAAACCAACAAAATCCCCCGCCCACCCCCTGGCTGTTTTAGGTATCTTAAACATCTTAACAAAAGTGCGAAATTTGGCTAAATGACTTGTATCGAATAAGGTTGTAAAGACTCTTGAAACCTCCAAACCGATATCAATGTCTTTAAAAAAGAATTCCCCTACCGCCCCCGCCCCCACCCCCAAAAATAATTGTCAAAAAAACACTCCACTGGCTGTAAACCTTTTAAGCATGTTGTCAAACATTCCTCGTAGTAAATAAAATGCTTTGTTTTTACCTATTTCGAATTTTACTCAAATTTCACATTTATTTTGTATTTAAAGATACATAATGGGAGATTCGATAACGAGTTGGCAGTTCTCACTATAATAGTTAAAAACTAGATAATGTAAAGGCAATTTGCTGAAAATTTCATTCAAATTGATCCACTATGAACCGAGAACTAAGCAATTGAATTTTCCGCCTAGCCTCGATCATCATTACTAAAGTCAGTACGATAAACAGCATAGTCTCGATTATCCATTTAATCGTTAAATCGTGAAATAAAGTTATGCAGTAAATCGGCTCATAATCCACTAAAGATAGCAGGCTAGCGATGCCATCTAGTGTTGATTATGGTGTGGATAGGTTCATTAATGTCTAATTAATAATTTAGATAACATTTCAGGCCTAAAGAAAGACCTGCAATAGACAGATTTAGCTCTTGCATAATGTATGTTTAAATATCTTAACTATTTGAATTTTTCTAGAATTTTCACGGAAAATCAACATGGAGATCACTGTTTTGTTGTCCTTCTTGTTAGGTTCTTTGATTGTTGGAACTGCTCCTTCATTTGCAGAAATATACCTTTAGAGAAATAATATTTATTCGTTGTATACATGTATTACCATTCTCAACAATTAATTTTATTTTATTTAAATTTAATCACCTATTATATAATTAATAGTATCCAAGCAAGAGCCTACTTAGAGAATGGCATTTTGAGGAGTTTCCGGTGGGCTTTGTTCAGTATCCTTTCCACAAGATCACGAATAAAGCAAAATGTCATGTTTATCATTTAAGAAGAATATATAATTTTTTTCCAGTTGTTAGAAACCACAGGAGAACACGGGTGTAATACTGACATGAATGGTAATATTAACCGAGATGATATTGAATGGTGTAGATTACCACCTGGTAAACATCATGAAGTATATGAGAATCATATTTAAAATACAGATGTGACGTCACCCTTTGATGTTGGCGTACCATTATTTCAAATAATCGGACGGGCAACTTGCCAATAGTACTTTATTCATACCAGTGAGATATTGGACTAGTGTGACGTAAAAGCTCGTGCGGAGTGTCGGTATTTTAAGATGTTTAATGGTCTCGAGCTTCCGACATTGCGTAATATATTGTAAAAACATTCGGGCCTACGGCCCTCATGTTGTTACAATATATTACTTAATGTCTCGCTCTCGAGATATTTGATTTTGGGGGCATAATACTAAAATATGCAAATGACTACGAAAAAAGTCACTATAGAACCTAACAGAAGAAACATTTCCAGTTACATGTGACGCCCAAACGCACCAATAGCTACCGCATGGAATGCATGTGATGCTTGGGATCATCATGGGGGTCCAACCCAAGATTTGCACGACTCTGACTTTGAATGTTACAGTCATTGTGGCATTGAATTCCAGGGTGGAAACATCAGTTTAATTGTTTTAGTGACCAGAAAATAAATTTTGATATGCGTCGGCTTACCCAAAATGAAAGGTTACGTGCCCTTGGCATGCTACAGATCGGCACAACACAGGCGGTTGTGGCGCGGACGATGAATGTTTCTCAGTCTGTCATAAGCAGGCTATGGTCCAGATACCGTGATACACAATCTGTACAGGACAGACCACGCTCAGGTCGACCAAGGGCGACAACTCAAGCCCAGGATCGATTTATCCGTGCCTTGGCCTTGAGAAATCGTGTCATCACAGCAAATCAGATCAGCGCTCGTCTTCAAACAGACACTGGTGTGAGAGTGAGTGGCCAGACGATTCGGAATCGACTGCATAGGGGTCACCTTCGCGCCCGACGTCCTCGCATGATCCCTTGTTTGAGAGATCATCACATTCAGGCAAGACGTCGTTGGTGTAGGGATCGTCAACACTGGGATAATCGACGCTGGAGCAATGTGATGTTTTCAGATGAGTCAAGGTTCACTGTTGATTTTTTGGACAGACGTAGGAGGGTGTGGCGTCGTCGAAACGAGCGCTTCCAAGACGTTAACGTCATCAGACATGATCGATTTGGGGGTGGTTCTGTTATGGTGTGGGGAGGCATCACTGTTGCTGGAAGAACGGCTTTACATGTTGTTGCAGGGCGTGTTACAACATCTTGGCAGTCCATGTTGTGCCGTTCGCACGACGTCATTGCCGCCGTTTCATCTTCCAGGATGACAACGCAAGATGTCACAGGGCCAGGATCGTTACAGGTTACCTCCAACAACAGAACATCACCACATTACCTTGGCCAGCACTGAGTCCCGACCTCTCCGCCATCGAGCATGTCTGGGACATGCTTGGACAGAGGTTACGTCAACGTCAACAACGTCCTGCCAATGTCCAAGAACTTGCTGCTGCGTTGCAACAGGAATGGGACAATCTGGACCAAAATGACCTTAATCGTCTCAATAGGAGTATGCCACGTCGGATCAATGCTTGTTTGGCAAACAGAGGAGGATTTACCCGTTACTGACTTGGTTGTGATGCTGTGGTAACTTTGCTGTTTGACCCCGGGTATCATTTTACCCTTATAATGGTCAGTCTGTGCCTTACTTAGTCTAACGATCATTTGGAATAAATCGATGAATGTGAACTTCATTTCATTTTGTCATTTGTTTCTTCGTCAGTTTCATTAGGTGACTTTAATAACACTTAAAAATCAAATATCCCCTACTTTTTTTGAATAGTATATATCGTTTCACCAAACAAATTACGATGCGAATCAGATAGTACTACAATAATCAAAACGATTGATAATTGTTATTGATTACATTTCTGCCACATCCAACTACAATTAAGCTACGCCTGACACAAGGCGCGGATTTTGGGGAGGGGGGCATCCAATCGTAGCTAAATACAAGCACATCAGTATATCTCAACGTTTTTAGCTACGTTCTCGTAACTATCGAGCTAGTAATTATAAATCTTTGCTAGCTCCTGGACTAGAACCCGCTAGTGGAAGAATCCAATGCTAATGCCTCTCCATGGCCATGGTAGTAAAATGATGGTCTCTCATGAGCCACCGCTTCTTGCTAAATCTACACGAGAGTCTAAAGTATGGAAGCCTATTGCGGCCATTTCAGAATCTCGATTTCTCGCCGTAGGGCGAGAACACGAGGGAGCGAGAAGTCAAGGGCAAGAGTGCGAGAACATGAGATTATTTTCACCTCGACTTCTCGCCCTCGACTTTTCGCTCCCTCGTGTTCTCGCCTTTGAAAATTCTCGACTTCTCGCTCCCTCGCATTCACGACTTTGAGTTAATCTCGTCCTCTCGTGTTCTCGCTCCATAGCTTTCTCACAATCTCGACTTCTCATCTTCTCGTCTCGGAAATGCAGTTTATGCACATGTCCACTGACTACCGTATCGCCATTTATATTTTGACATGGATTCAAATAGACGGAAATGTTTGAAGTTCTAGAAAATTTAATACTCCTAAACAATTTTAATCTCTTCTTGCACAGACAGTATTGTATTTTTTAATCGATTTTAAGTCTTCAGTCAAATCTTTTCTTTGCTCTAACTTCATCAACGTTCATCAGGTTTTTTGATGCGTAGACTTGACAGTGCTGTAGGACGGAGAGCCTGACAAGGGACAACATATAATTAACGGAAATTTGCTGAAACTCAATAGGCATGTTCGTTTTACTAATTTAAAGGATACATATAAATTTCATACAGATCGGATAATAAATTTTGTAGTTAGAACATTCACAAGGTACAACAAAGTGAAACAAGGGCCATAACTCATGGCGTAATCTAAATGATGCATATCAATTTCGAACAGATCGGATGATAACTGTTGTCATTAGAGCGTTCACAAGATTCGACAAAGTGAAACAAGGGCAATAACTCTAGGTGTAATTAATGGAAATTGCTGAAATTCAATAGCCTTCTTTGTTTTACTAATTTAAATGATGCATATAAATTTCATACAGATCGGTTGATAACTTTTGTCGTTAGAGCGTTCACAAGGTGCAACAAAGTGAAACAAGGCCATAACTCCAGAAGAAATTAACGGAAGTTATTGAAATTAAATAGGCTTCTTCATCTCACTAATGCAAACAACATCTATCAATTTCAAAACAATCAGATGATAAATGTAGTCTGTAGTGTTCACAAGCAATTGTGGACGGGTGGACCGACCGACGGATAGACGGCAATATACGACCACATTTCCATGTGAGGTATAAAAATTAAATTAAATTTCTCTCTGCCTTTTCTCCAATGATTAATATGTGTTACATATAATTATGTCATGTTTTGACTAGCCAAGCGTTTCCTTTACATCCGCTTAAAGCATCACTGAGAGTGCCATTTTGAATAAACTATTATTTTACTCTTGCAAACCCTTCCAGGCGCATCATATCAGAACACAGCCCTGATCTATTTTGGGGATCAATAAAATTAGGGTCTGGAGGATGGGCCTCGAGAGCCGTGGGTTGGGGACACTGATTACTTTCTGTTTCCTATATAAACATTACATAAACACATTTTTCACACAACATTTTTTTTATTCAGTTTATTGTTAATTAATGTACAATGACAATAAACACATGAATGATCTATAGAGATGGTGAGAGATTAATATACGTTTCACAACTGCTGGCACTCACAGCTATTTCTTCTGGTAATTATACTAGCTAAATAGAATGCTGCCTTTTAAATACGTATTGAAAATAGTTTTAAGGTGTGCCTCAGAAAGATAACAACTGAGGAATAGTGGTCTAATGTTTAGCAATGTTTCATTTTTTGAAGTTTATAATCTGAAAATTATGGTAGAAATGGTTTTATTTTATCAAAATTTCTATTTGAAATTATTTAAGACCTTGAAAGTGCTCTATATGAGAAACTGAACCAGTAAAATGCACCAGAAAAAAAGTATGTTGTAGACATGCATATAATGAACAAGTATGATGGGGAAAGAAATTATGTACATAATAATGAATAGAATTAGATACAGTAAAATGTCTTCTGTAAGTTATCAGGAACTTAGAAACAACCTACATCGACAACTAAAACCACAAAATTTTTATCCCCATCTCGGTTTTGGGCAGTTAGGACAGCCCCAAAATATGCATTTATTAGTGGATATTGTAAAATCTGTCAGATGTCGAAGAAATGTTTGGAAAAAAATGGTAGAAGTTGTCTTGTGCTCTAAATATTAACCCCAATGCACTCTTAAGTCGACATTGTTTTAAATTGAAAAGAAGAAAGTCTGAAGATATCCATTGATAAAGCATCAATCTTTACAAAGCTTCTTTAAATTATTCTTCAATGTCATTGACTTAATATATCCAAATAACTTTTCAAAAACCTTCCAAATTTAAGTTTAGAAGTAACATAATTGTAAATCATAATGCCATTTTTATCTCACATTTAATTCATCAAGTTTACATTTTAAGAGTAAAGTACTCATTTTAATTTAATTATTCAAATATGGGTAACTTCCCTTTGTAATCCACATGAATTACAAACAAATTTTGCATCTTTGTAAATTTATTATGAAAATTAGCACTTCTCATCAAGCCAACTAAATTACATCAATAATTTACTAAATAGTTCAACAATCCAAGATTACAGACACTAAGAAAATGTATACCCTGAATTTTCCTGCCTCCAATAATGGTTTTAACACAATATCAATTTAGCTTATAAAATAAATGTTATATTTTATATAATAGTAAGTTTTAATTCATCCGTGGATAAAATTTCATTTTTAATTTGTTCAATGACATCTAGAACAACAATTCTAGTAAATAAATAAGTAAAAGAGTATATATATATATGCCCTTTTTAATTTTAATTAGCCATTTTACTAACAATCAATAAAATCATTTCTACTTTAACAAACAACAAGATTAATTACCGGTCAAGATTTTTTCATTTTAGTTAATATTTAATCTTTAAAAATAACAATTATTTATCTTAAGAGTAAAAGACTCTGTTAAAACTTCGCTTTTAATGTGTTGAAGAGTCACGATAAATAAAAAGAATTATACAATTAAAATTCATAATTTCAATTTTCCCATTTACCAATGCATATAAGAGTTTCCTCATTAAAGATGCATTATGTACAAGCTGAATCTGCCAATTGCAGGTCTTTATGTTGGCCTCAAATGTTATATAAACTATTATTTAGACATTCATTAACATGACAAGCCAATAATCAACTCTATAGATCATCGGATGGTTGCAATTTTCAATGGATTGAATCATGATTGCCATTTAACAAATTAATTTAAACTTGATAAGTGAGACTTTGTTCATTATCGTGACAATGGTACTTGACAATCAATACTATATTTTGAACACTTTAAAGCATCAGAGCATCGCTCAGAAACAAGTAATTTGTCTGAAAATTTCAATATATCAATTTTTAAACTACCTGTCAGATCTTAATCTAAATCTTACACAATGCATCTTTATGCATTTAACATAAATTGAACCCACAAAATATATCTAACATCTTTATTTAACAATTTTATCTATTTTATTCATAACTATTTATGTTTTTGAAGTAGTAATTAATCTAAATTGAATATTTTTCTAGTAATGTAAAAAAAAAAGAAGAAAGTCTATTCAAACTGAAAGATTATATTATTTCATGGAAAAAAATCCAAACTTTAACCCCCAGTTTCCCTTTTCTAAGTTGTTTCAATATTTTGGCACGTGGAGACACTATTAAGGGAAAAGGAAATAGAAATGTACATGCATTTGAACATGATTGTCTGAAACCTGTTTCTCACAGTAAATACTAGACTGCCAGCAATGATATTGTTCAATCTATTCTAAGTCAGTTTAATTCACAAAAAACAATGGTGCTATTAAAACATTTATTGTGAGAAATGGGCTTATAAGACATGAAAAATAAAAAGCAACCTGATAATGAAATAAAACTACATTATATGGTTAGAGAGTACCTGAGTTATTAAGATATTTACACCAGAACATTATGCCTCAGATTAAAATGTCACATACAGCAAACCCCAAGACTAAGTATCATTTGACATTATCAGTATTACTTACTAACCAGATAAGCACGAGACATAGATGCACATTCAAATTCTAGACTAAATTGGTACAAATCAAAATCAAGATAATTAGGGTTACAAAATTTTGGATCCTACCATGAGAAGATATCATTTCTTTGTAATATATAATAAATTTTATTGAAAAATGTTTCTATTTGACACAAAATCTGCTTCTTCCATATAGTTTCTCCTATATTAAATGCCAGGGTTTAAAGATGCATTGTGCAAGAGCTAAATCTGCCTATTACAAGTCTATTTTCCAGCTTCAAATGTTATATAAATTATTATTTAGACATTTATTCACATGACAAGCCCATTGGATGGCCTAGATATTAAGTGGATTAGTCAATGTCTGCAATATCTCGTAAATGTTAATCTTTATTATCGTAGCAATTGTACTTGACAATCAAGACTATTGTTGCCATTTCTTGACAAACATTCATAACTTTGCTCAGAATAAAGTAATTAGACTGAAATTTTCAATATATTCATTTGTCAATATCTATTTTGCAACTGTTATACCAAGAGCAGGCAGCACTTTATCTAAATCTTACATAATGCATCTTTATGAATTCCAATCACATTTGCGTATTTCATTGTTGAGATTTTCATCTGCACCAATCAAAATTATAGAATTCATTCTGCTCAACAACTGTTGGCTAATGTTTACTGAGGTATGTAATAAAAGACCCTACAAATAATTTTAAAAATAACATATATCAATCATTGACAGCATGTAAAAAAAACCTTTATCAATCATTGGCAGCAGGTAAAATAACCTGCATCAATCATTGACAGCAGGTAAAATAACCTATATCAATCATTGGCAACAGGTACAATCACCTGTATCAATCATTGACAGCAGGTAAAATGGCACATTTTTATAAGAGAGATTTTTGACCGCCATCAAATATTGTGTTGTATAAACACGACACTAAATGCATTCGATTCAACTTAAATAGCAGAACACCTTTTCGAAGAATTCCAAAAGATCATGAAAGATGAAATTATCAAAGAAAATATTTGTTATCAATACTGAAAGTTAACAAACCAACAGTGAGACGTCCCCTGCCTCAATCCCAAAATAAACAGATGACACTCATTAATTACAACTTGCACCTGTTATCTTTTTATAAAGCATTTATCAATTAAACTGTTTATCATGACCTGTGTAGAAAATGTTAATAATCAAACTTAATCAAGGTATGGATATAATGAAACTATACACAAAGATTCATCACTCACTCAATTAGAATCAAACTTATTTGCCTTCATAAAATGAACATCTACACCAAGTTTGAGCATTCTACCTCAATTAGAAGTAGAGTTATGTGTCCCAAAAATTGTGACAGACAGATGGACGAACCATTTTAATAGACCCCTCTTTCTTCGAAAGGCAGTGGACAAAAACTACAAAATGATAGTTAAGAAAAAAATATCAAAGATTTAAGTGTAAAATTATAAACCAATACATAATATTCTCTCAATTAATTACCAGGATAAAATTCCTATATAAAAACCATATATGATTAATAATTTAAACTATTATCATTATAGAATTTACCATTTATTTGATGATTTCATTTCATGTTTTCTCAATTTAAAATTGTATTACAGAGAATTTTCTCTTAATTTATTTTACAAAATTGACTTAAAAATGGATAAAGAATATACATACCTATCAATGTAATAGATAATAAAATAATAATAATAACGATATATCATTGTTGTTGACAAAAATGAATTAGGTATACTAAGATACAAAACACAGTATTATGGAGATTCGTTCATGCACTGATAAAAATGAAAGGAATACAACCACGTTATATGGTTCCTAATTATATTTCACCATTTTTAAATTTATTTCTTCTTTTAGCACTAATTTTATTGCATACAAAAATAAAATTCTTAACATTTACAATACTTCTCACAACATAAATAATTTCAAAGTGTTTTGTTTTCGCACAAAAAAATGAATCGAATTTGTAATTTTATAATTCACCAGTAATATACAAATTGATTTTCACTTTTTTAAATATGCAATGTTAATGATAAGTAATAGAATAGGTATTATACATATCAAAAGATGATCTAACACTGCACAGTTTATTATAAGATAAAAGAAAATATCAGAGAAATAAGTTGAGGTGATTTCCAGATGACATATGTGATTAGAAGAGAACGTTGCATGCTGTATTCCTTTTATTTACTGAGGTAAGGATGTAGGCCTGAGGTAAATTATGTCAAAAATAAATAAAACTGCATCAACAAATCCTGATCATTAAAAACATAGCCCCTTTAAATTAACACATATTTACATACAAAAATAACACGAATCAAGCAAGTACCTTTCTCTGTCTGGAAGAAGAACTCATTTAATTAAGCTTTGGCTAAGTAAAACAATTCTTCCGTCACTGAAGCAAATGCTTTGCTGTGAAATTTGTCGCAATGTTTTATTATTTTCAAAAAAATATCTGTCTTTAGTATTTGTTGATGCAAGCAATATCCCAATATATATATATGCATCTAATCCTAGCCATATAAGACATATAAAAAGTATACATGAAGGCATACAAATTAAAAAGATACAATAATAATTATATCAAGAACAATAACTAAGAACCAGCTAGACTTATGGTCAACCATATCAACAAGTTATAGTCAAATAATAAAAATAACTTAACCAAAACTTTACAAGTGTACACACATCAAATTGTTCAAGTCTTGAAATCTTGAAATAAATATGCAACAAAAAGAGAGAAAAAAACCTAGTGGTCACATGGTACAAATAAAATCTATCTATTATATACATGGATATATATAACGATGCAAATACCACAAATTCCACTTAATTTAGATTTTTGAGCCTGACCATATTAACAGCAGAAATTACATTTAATTCTCACAAAAATGTTCGTTTTATGTCCAGTTTCATCAAAATCTGCAGAATCAAAATAAATCTCTTTTTAAATTCTCATTTAAATGTAAGAAATGATACCAAGACCATTTCGCAAAGAGAAATAATTTTTGAAGTTGTTTTCATCGTCAGAGGTACTACATGTGATTCTTTTACCTTTGAAATGTCATATTGGACTCGGGGAGCCAAGGTGGCCAAGTGAGTAAGACGTTAGCTCTTTAACCTGGAGGGCCCCGTGTTCGATCCCTGCATTGGGGGAAAAGGTTTATCAGGATTTTTCGGCGTGGTTCCCCCTTGTCGGTGGTGCAGGACAGAGGGCCTGGCAAGGGACCAGGTATGTCATTCAGACAGGATAAAAAACAGAAGTCCCGTGTACACATTGGCGTGCACATAAAAGATCCCTTGACAGTTAGAATTTGATATAAGAGTAGGCTATAGCGCCACTGTCTGGGCAAAATTTCCCACATAGCACACTGTTATGCCTGTCTTCAATAGCCCAGTCGGAACTGAACTGTAGAACGTTTAACCCTATTTTATTTCATTTCATATTGGACTGCACAATACACTTCTTTTAACAAACTTATTTGATCTTTAAATTTTGAAACTATTTTGTGCATTTTTGCTCCACGATAAATTGACTTTAAGCCTAGTGTAGATAAACTTACTTCACATCTGCTACATTACAAGATTATAATTTCAGCTGCCATTTTACATGTTATTAAAGTATGCACTTTACATAAGTTTATCATGGTGGAAATGAATAACTGGACAAAATCCAGACATTGTCAATTGCTGGTGGTTTCCATCTAATTCCCACATAATACAAACAATTCTTAATAAAGCCAGATCTAAAAATCTTATCTTAAATATTGGTGAAGGGCTCACAATTTAAGAAAAGTGTTTAAATATTTAATAAAACACCAAACTCAGAAGATTATTGAGAGAATAATGGATAGGATTAATGGCCACCAGGGAAACTATGTAGGGTTTTCTCACAACCCTATATCTTCTGATGTCCCTTTAATTCACCGGGTGAGTACAATAATTAGCATTCTCTTCGAACATTAAATACCTATAATTATTCCACCAATAGTAATACCAATTGATCCTAATTAATCTTACAACAAAATGAAAGTACAGTGTAAAATGTACAATAGTTAACAGGCTCATAGTTCACAATTAGTAGATTTTAGATGTTTTTCCTCTCTCTTAGTTATTACCACTATACAATTCATTGTCTCGCCCCCTTAATATATAGTACACATGTATAGCAAAATTCTCAGGGTGCAGCTCTTAACAGAATTTATATACTAAAAGAATAAATTAGTTAACATAGCAGCATAGTATCATGTTGCTAAAACCGAGAGAAATATTTTATTTCTCTTTTAACATGTATAAAAGCTGGTATTATTACTTAGCAGGTGAATCATGGCTTATTTCATAGTCGGCAACAGACCCAAATTATTCTGAAGAAAACCCCCAAGATTTCAAAGATATTTTTAAAATTAAATATCAATGACATAGATTCTTAACTGTTTAACTGTAAAAGAAAATTAAAATTGAAAATCTATTTATAAGAGATCTCCAAATCATAAAATTTGACTTGGACCACAGTTATGGAAATCATTGCGCAAAAACCATCATATAGATACTTAATCAATCAGCAAATTAAACAAAACTTCAAATTTATTACAGTAGCGCCACTGTCAGGGCAAAGTATCTCTCATAGTACATTGCATGGTGGACACGTATGCCCATTTTCATTGGCCAAGTTAGTGCTTTAAAGTATGATGTTAAACCCCATTTCATTTGGGTCTGTCGCTTTCTTTTTAACTGTTTTCATTCAAAAGCCAAGCTAGTTTAACTAAACAACATATCAATGAAATCTGAGATTATGACTTTTCATTTGTTTTAACTAAAACTAAAATAGTTTTAAATTATTCACCCTGAGTAACTCTGTCAGCAAAACTAGAATTTATGTTTTCAATTGTGCTTTACATGTTTAAGTCTTTGAGGTAACAGGTTACAATTTACAAATAAAAAAATATTGGTTTCTTTCTTCTTAATTATTTCTCGAGAAAATCTGAAAAGAAAAAACTGATATTGAAGTGTATTTTTTTCCTTTAAAAAAACCCCCAAGGTTTAACTGTCCCTAAGTAAAGCACTGGCCAAACTATCGGCCACTCATCCACCATTACACACAAAATTTAGCTGTAGTTATATTTTTCACCCGTTCTTTAACCAGCAAATTGATATACAAAATCCCTGAAGTAGTTATAGTCATATTAAATACAGTTCCCAGATAATATAATCTGCACTGTCTGTTTGATATATATATTTCATACCGGTATCAAGGGTACAATACATGGTTTTCTCTTCAAATAGTTCTACAACAAAATCCCGTAATTTACAACACAATACACGTACAGAGAATAAGAAGAATTTACTCGTGTTCTGCGAGGTAATCGAGTACCCTTTTCCAAAAACACGTCTGTCAAGACGTGTCTTCCATCACTGCTGCCTTAAGTATCACTTGATTTGAAGAAATCCTCTCGGGGTTACCTCCTCTATACGCTCAACACTTTTGAGTAAAATCACATTAAGCGTCTGTTTATGAAACAAACAAATTAACTGAATAATAAATATTCAAATTCACAAATCAGTTATCACCCGTTAAAATAACGAATGACACTAGTTCACACGTAAAATAAACCCGCAAGTATAACTTTTCGAACTCCTGAGAATTTAGGGTTTTTGACAGTCCGGTCTGTTAGTTTTCACATAAAATAATACGTGTTTATTCATTTGGCTCCTATCGCTTGATCAAGACTGTTCAATTATATAATTGCTGCGTAGGATTAAAGAATCATGTTGCTGGCTAACGATTCAGTCTATAATAATAGATTATTTAGAAGAAAAGTTTCAAGGGTTAAAACATTACAAATCATTATGTGTCTTAATGCTGTTTTGTCTGCTTTATCCACTTTCAGCAGTATATCAGTCTAACAGCAGACATCTACCCGTATCTCCGAAGATAATTGCATTGCCGCGCTTCTCAAACGACAGCATAAATGATTGTGAGGTAATGGTAAGAAACTAGGCAGACATTGGTAGCTGTGTATTTGGTGTTATTTCTCCTGTTGTTTCTGTTGACCCATGAGAACTTAAAACATGTTTGGCTGGTCCTAAAAAAAAAATATAATTATTGATTTTTTTTATTATTCCATATTAAAGAAGTGTTAATAAATAATAATAGATTGCTGTGGGACCTGGGCTGTCGATAATTTTTTGAAGTTGATCAAAAGTCTAATTTTGCTAAATCTGATTAGCAAATTCAAAAATTGATTAGCAGTTTTTCAGTTTCAACATAAAACACCCAAATAACAAGATTTTACTTTAATTCATAACAAATTACTATATGAATATGATCAAATTTTATTATTCTTTAGTTTTCAATTCATTCTTAGATTTTTTAGCACTGCTACATGTAGATGTTACAGTTTAATTTCGTCTGCTTTTTATCATGTGTTACTATTTTTGTTCAATCAGAGATATGCGGAAATTTATGAATAAACTCGTTTAACTAGACACACAAAGGAAAACAAAAATATTTTACAGGAATTCTTACTTTGATTTCTCATTTTACCATATTTATTTTTTATTTATAAATGTGGAGGACACAGTGGATTTATTTTTCAATTTGAATACTGATACAATTACACGAAATTGACATGTCTCCCAAAATGAGCGGTACTTGGCCTACTTGATTCTTTATTTAATAGTCTCTATTCATAGAGTTATGTCTGGGTAGCATGTGAGTGTTAGTTGTATTTTACGTCCGCTTCTGGGTAGCATATTGAAGATTCCTAAATATAATAAACGTTCTGCGAGAGTCCTCTTCCATCCAGAGCTTTGAGACTAACTTTAAAACATATTTATTTCAAAAATGTTTTTTTTTTATGAAATACAACTAAATCAATGATGTTGTTCACAAAAGATTATAACCATTATCATAAATGTAGGCACTAGGTGTTAATTTAGTTACAGAATTCATATCAGAAATTAATGACAAGGAACCAAAATGACTTATACATCAAATCATGTTGTTCAATAAATGTACCAGTGATAGTATATGGTCTTAAACTTTATAGTGAACATTTATTATGGCAATAACTGTACGAAAATTGAGGTATTAAACTATTGTTTCTTCTTACCTGTATGTGTGTGTATGAACCACAATGTACCAGTCAACAATATACCAATCGCAAATGCTGCAAATGCAATACCAACAACTGTCTCCGAATCTAAACCCTCTATAATAACACTTTGTTGAGGCTGATTATTATTACTTTCAGTAGAGCTAGTGGCTCCATCTGTTTTATACCCCGAATTGTCTCCTGTAAATACAATATTTAACATATATATTAACTATGAACAGTTCAATAAAGGAAATATTAATGTTAATAAAAAAAATAGGTTGCCAGGCAATGAAACACAAGGTTCTACAAAGTGAAACAAGGACCATAACTCTAGAAGTAATCAACAGAAATTGTTGAAATTAAATAATCCTCTTCGTCTCACTAATGTAAGCAACATATATAAATTTCAAAAAGATCAGATAATAAATGTAGTCTGTAGAGTGTTAACAAGAAATTGTGGACAACGGACGGAATCGACAGGAATATACGATCACATTTTCATGTGGGCCTATAAAAATGATTGTCTTTTAAAGCGCTAAATTATGTCTAAAAGTCATTTCTAAGCATTTTATGCCCTGAATTGTACCCGGTAAATAAAATATCTACCATATATTTTATAATAAAGACTGTTTGTCTTCGGTACATCTACATTATGTCTAAAAGTCATTTGTGACCACTTGACAAAAAGTTCAGTGGTCTAGCACAGATATTTGGTTTTGATTCCCCGGTTGTACGTGACAAAGAGTATGGTTGCCTGTCGAACCTCGTTGGTTTTCTCCGGGTCCTCTGGTTTCCTTCCTCTGCTAAAGACCCGTGAAATGAAATGAAATGGAGTTTAACGTCCTACTGTTCTGCTCCTAACCTGGGCTAATAAAGACGGGCATACGCCATACAGTGTGCTATGAGGGAAATTTTGCCCGGACAGCGGCACTACGGCCTACTCTTATATCGAATTCCAACTGCCAAGGGATCTTTTACGTGCACGCCAATGTGTACACGGGACCTCGGTTTTTCGTCCCATCCGAACGACTAGACAGCTTTCCTTGTCAGCCCCTCCGTCCTGCATCACTGACAAGGGAGAATCACGCCGGAAAATCTGGATGAACTTTCTCGGCCCATGCAGGGATCGAACACCCGACCTCCAGGCTAGCGAGCTAGCGTCTTACCCACTTAGCCACGTGATCCCCCTGCTAAAGACCCCTATGCGCAAGCGAATTATTGAAATAAAATTGAACCATATGTTAGTCCCAAACTGGTCTACTGTATGTCGAGTGGACGTTAAACCCCATTTCTATCTCTTTTTATAGACTCCAAAGAGTTTATTCACATACATAGGGGCTAAGTCGAAAAATATAGCCTCTCTACTACCCTGTCTTCCACATAGCCAATGAAGGGCAACTAGCTTTTCAGCGTAACTATTCAACTTCCAGAACCTTTTCTGCAAGAATAACAGGAAAAGAGGGTATGTGACTGGCTAGATATTTACCTGGCGAATGATGAGAAAAGAGGGTATGTAACTCACCTGAAGAAAGTGGGATACCTGTGATTGCTATGGGTCCTATCACTAGTATCTTACTATAAGCTGTATTATGGGTATTGGCAGCTCGTGATAATTCTCCAGGTAGATGTTGGTTACAATGTTCCCTGGGTGATGCTGAACACTACAATAATATAAAACATAACATAAATACAAAACGCACAGATATCAGTTTCCATATACTTTAACCCTATCAACTCCTCCCTTCTTAAAATCGATCGCCGGCGATCGATAAATTAATCACGTCATATCCGAAAAAGTATTCATAGTAAACGAATATAATTTATATCATTCGAAAGCCACGAAAATTCCCTTTGAAATGAGACTAAGAACGGGTGACTATTCAACATAGAAGTCGTGTTATACGAGTCTAGATTCTAGCAAAGATGGATAACTCTGTGACCGTAAACAAATGACGTCATGTTATTTATTTAGAGCAGAAGTCCTATTATTTTGTGTACTTATACTTCAATTTTATAGCCGTAAAAATTTAGTTTATTGTGTCTAAAAGAGAAAGTATTAAACCGAAAATTAAGAATAGTAGTGTTGTTAAGTTTTGCATTGATTAGACACGTCTGATCTTGAATATGTGACTGTGAGCGATGCCGATGAAGTTCAAAGAGGTGACCTATCGGCCGACGAAGAATTTGTCAACGAGAGAATCGATCCCGATTTAGATTTGACTATTTGAGTGACTTTTGTTTACTATTTTACTTGATGATGATAATTATTTAATTGTAGATTGTATGCCCATTTCTAGCATGAAATATCCATTTAGCATCGAATTATCGGTAAATTAGCCCAAATATGTAGGCCTAAAATGTAATGGCATTTTGACAGCTAGTCGGCCACGTCATACGTGTGAATGGCTGCCCTTGATGAAGAGGAGATGTTTTCTATTTCAATTAGACTATTGATATGAAATGCAGAAACCCACGCTTAGTATTAAATTTCAAAAAGGCTTGGCCACTAATTATTGTCAGTTTGCGTTTGGTTTTTTTCGTTCCATAAACATAAATGATATACATACATTATTACATTTTATTATAAATTCCAAATGAAAGCTTGTCTGACTAGCCTTCTGTGTTCTACATGTACCCTATGTGTGTCTTATTTAATTTTATTTGATTTTTTTTAGGCCTTCAACCTCAGCTGAAGATACTACACATGGACATGGTGATGATGTTTTAGGCTTATGCCTATGGTAGCCTACTGATACAAGCATTGATTTGGATGAGTGAGTTTTGTTTGTTAAGTATAATGTACATGTTTTTACATCCGAAACAAGTATAAACCAAAACTGTCTAAATGTTCTACAACTTTAGATTGTATGCCTAGATCTACTACTACTAGCATAAAATATTGATTTATGATCTTCCTCTTTCCAATTATTTTACCAAATGTTACTCATTGTAGAAGTCTTTTGTTATTTTTTTTTTTTTATTGTACTGAATGCCTTAGATTTATTTATTTATATTTGAAGGTCCATATCTGAAGATGGAAATAGTGGTAGGCCTAAGATATTGTTGAGGAAGTTTTGGTGCAACAGAATAACAAAAGTACATGTACCACCAGGTCAAGGCGTCGATCAACACTGAAACATTCCAATGCAGAAAATTCTTCTGAAGAAAATTCACCATTGAAGAGAACACAGCCATCTGCATCCCAGCCTTGTCGTCATGAGAAGATTAGTCATAATATTAGCACAGAAGAATGGAAGCATGAACAGTGTATAGACACAGAGCCCAGTATACTAAAGTTTACTCGAGACCTAGAACTGGAGTTTCATGAGTTGACAGTTGGCACAATGGAACTTGATCTGTTTCAACTAGGGTGAAAACTAGACAACATAGAAGATTTTTTGACATTGCTATATTTATTGTTAATACTGTATTATAATTATTGATCGTTGCATGATTTTCCTAGACCTATGTACATGTATCTATTTGATTTTATGTATTCCTTCTGAATTTTTCTTATCAGCCTTGTGCCTACTTTCATATTTCTGTGTAAAAAAGTGCTATTGTCTTTGGGAAGGTGTTTACCTTATGACAAATGCTATAGTATTTGCATAATAGCAGCTGTGGGTAACATTTTAACAGCAATAGTATAGAAATACTAATTTTGGGGTCATAAGTCAGTGTGTCCGGTCAAAGGTCAACCCATTGAGTCAAAGGTCAATAGTGGGGTCAAAGGTCATTTGCATAATTACTTGATTATGTCTCTATTTTTTAATTCTAATCATATATTTGTGATATTTAATTTTGTTATCTTTAAATCCACTCATTAAATCACAATTACTACTATGTGCATACTTAAACCTTCGTTGCTGTATTTTTTCCCAATGTTTATCATTTTTGATGTCTCATAACTTTTTTGATTTTAATGCCACAATTATGAATAATACACAGATTTGTGGCAAAATAGTTGTTTTCTTTGAATCTTACTAAAAAAACCTACCAGCTTATAATCTCTGTGACCTGTTTGAGGCCAAATGGAAAAGTTAAACTTATTTTGGGGGTCAAGGTCAGACAAAAAAGGGGTCAAGGTCAAAGTTTATGCACGTGGGGTCAACGAACTGATCCCTTATAGAAAGTACTGCCAATGCCCTAATCAGAAACATATAACATGTGGTTCTTCTAAGAATTATTTTTTTACCATTTGCCCAGTAACAGATACCAGTGGTAAAACACCAGTTTAGGGGAGGAGTTTATAGGGTTAAAAAAATAGAAAAAACATTTTACAGTCCAAACGAATGAACTACATATCATTTTGATAATATCAAATTATAATTCATGTAGTTACGTGTACACAGGAGCTAGGTTTTTCGTTCTGTCCAAATGACAAGTTGTTGTTCTGAACCAGGCCCTACAGCCTTCATCTCTAATAAGGGAAAACCAGGGTGGAAAAATGAAACGAAATGGGGTTTTAGGTCCTCTTGCACCGACTTGTTTAATAAAGGCCAGCATACACCTTGCAGTGTGCTATAAGGAAAATTTTGTCTGGACAGCGGCACTACAGCCTACACTTATATCAAATTCCAACTATCAAGGTTTCTTTCACATTCACACCAATGCATACACAGGACCTTATTTATTTGTCCCATCCGATCGACTAGACCGCTGTCCTTCTCAGGCCCTCAGTCCTGCACCACTGACAAGTGAAAAAAATGACGGAAAATCTTGAAGAACTTTCTCGGCCAAAGTTGGGAGCAAGCGCAGCTCGCAGGCTGGAAAAACTTGATGTTTAAATGAAAGATATTAAAATACATTTGGTATTATACACCTACATAAATTAGTAGAAACTGGAATAAAATGTAGATATAAACAACAGTACCTGAGGTATATCAATACTGCTGTCTAAGACATGCATCTGACACTGAGATAGTTCACAATACAGATATGTATCCTGCCCATTGAAATAATCACGTAGAGGAAAACTAAATCGACTGTATGGATCAAGATGTCTGTAGTGTTTATTTGCACTTCCACCAGGATTGAAATTATTCCAGTGAAGACTTTCATCATAAGCACACCTGTTCAAACATTAAACACTTATTAGCTTTCCAGGTTCAATTATTTATGAATAACAGTTTAAGAGAGAAATCTAAAAGAATTATTTGTTTGACTAACTAAATCTTCTTTAATTTAAAGTGCATGACACCCCCCCCCCCCCTTCCCAAGATTTAATTATTTATGAGTAAAAATTTAAGAGAACAATCTAACTGAATTGTTTGTCTGAATAACTAAATTCTCTTTAATTTACAATGCATGAAAACTGCCCCCCCCCCCCCTACAAAATAGAAGAAAATCAAAAAATTCATTATTGGTACTTTGTAATTGAATTGGGATTTTTAAATATATGATTGTATAAGCTCAAGACATTCTGAAGACTGTATATAAAAGCATGCGTGAAACGTCTAATAATCCAACAAGCAGAAGTCATCTTAGTTTTTACCATCATATAATTCCAAATCTCCATCATAATCTTACCCATTAATAATTAGCTGTTCACCATTTTCTATCAAACTTTTGCTTGCCTTTGAATCAGATGGACTTAGCCAGCAGTTCTTAACTTCTACCTTAAGCGGTATGTCTGAAACAACCATAGAGTCAATGAAGTGAAAACGCAATTGAAACAGAAATTATTAGGTTCTGCACTCCATAAAATTTGGCATCATGATTTTGTTTATTATTAATGAATACCAAATACCTCCAAACCACACATAATTCTATTAGCGGTGCCAGCCACACAAAAGACAATTGCAAACCAAATGCTTCTGCTATCAGATTCCTGTAAACAGTGTTGTAATCAGAGAAAGAGAGAGAGAGAGAGAGAGAGAGAGAGAGGGGTTAGGTATGCCATCTAGGTTTGGCAAATCTATTTAAACCAATCTGATTAAACACAGATGTATATTCTTATACTTTTGATGGCCTTCACTGCATAAAGATCCCACAGGTTGTATTTGAAGGTCGCGTCAGGGGTCATACAGGCGACTTTTGATCCAATGACCTCAATTATTCGAACTACAACTTTTGCTTTGTTTTGTTTTCTAGCAATGGTTCTTCGCTCTGCACGATAAGAACTCTACTGAACAGACCATATGATTGGCTAATCCCTCATATCACCCAGACCGCAGGTTATTTAATAACTCTTCCAGATCCTGATTTTGTGAAGACATGTAAAACATAATGTTGAAATGTGAAACGAAATGGGATCTGTGTTTTAATAAAGATTGTATTTTAACAAAATAATTTTAAAATTATGTACCACTTATAATTGATGCCTGTATATAGACTCTTGTATCAACAGCAATTGGCACGGGTGATGATGAGGCTGTTTTTAGAGGATTGGCGAAGAACTCTGATGCAAACAACTCTAGTTTATAATCAGTATTGTCTGTTACAATGCTTGTGTCTGGCTTCTGGTGGAAAAAATTAAAAAGAAATAAAATTAAATTTAAAGTATACTTCTAATACAAGTAGGATTTTCAATAGTTCTGACTTTGGTTTTAGATATTAATGGCGTGACTATCTGAATAAAAGAACTAAAAATAATTTAATTAGAATGTATAAATAAATAGGCGATTCTTGAAATATTTGAAGTTTTTTGAATGAGCAAGTATTTTAGCAACTCAATAACTTTCTCCTCAAATACATTTGTAACAATAAGAAACATGAAACTTCTTTACTAACTCTTGAAGGTGGGGCAATAGTTTGTTCACATTGGACATCTATTTCAACTTTACGTGATTGGTAATCTTCATCATCAACATAAGTAGCAGGACTGTCATCATTGGTTCCAGACCCAGACATTTCTGTCGGATCCATCCAACCACTTCCGAGATCTTCTAACAAATTATCAGTGACACTGGCAGCATGGATGACAATCTAAATCAAACATAAATATCTCTTAAAACTTTTACTCAATTTCTTGTCCTCAGTTTACTTGGGATCATTTTTACACTTGTGCGTGAAGTTGTCTTTCAGCGGTGGGAGAAAATCATGAAAAACCTATAAGGTCAGGCAGGAGACCCTACTCCTGGTCAAGTGCAAGCCTGGTATTGAAACCACACCATTTGACTCAATGACAGATATTATATTCTATAGCACATGATTTATGCTTTACACCACATGGACACGTTATAATATTCTAATACAAATTTGAATAGCTTTACAAGGCTATTACAAAATTTTTTTTTATACTCTATTGTGCTCAATTACGTAAAAACAGTTCATAATGATGAGTTTAAAGAGATATGTGAACGAAAAGGAAACTTACAGCATTAGAGAAGACATAATTATCATCTATCTGAATATATTTGGTATTACAACCAGTTAAACTTGTCTGTAATATAATATGTGTGTCATTCTGCTCAGCACCACAGCTTTTATCTAATAGAGTTATCTGTTGTTTCACTAATGCCCATTCCTGTAATATAATAATATAATACTTTATAACAAAGTTTTTAACTAATATAATGTGTAAAGGGAGATAACTATTAGATTGCATTGTCTCCCCTTAGACCACAATTTTCTTGTAATACTAATCGCCCAATGTTTACTCCTAGAAATTGTCAATTACAATTCCTAATGTAAAGCCTGGTGCACACTAGGCAACGACATAGGCGATTTCAGTCGCCAACAATGAAAAATCAAAAACTCGCTTAATGTGTGCACTTAATATTTAGGATTCTCTGAAATATTTCTGGACTCATCCTCACTTAGCCTGTTTTCTATACATACAAGAGTCGCCCAATTTCAGCTCATTACTTAGAATACTAAAAATGCACTGCACTCGAACAGTGTTGAACTAAGACGGCTACACCACCGCCTGATCATCATGTACCAAAAAATATTAATTCAAGTGACATAGGTTTTTTTTTGTGTGATCACCAAAGTTGTTGTGAAGTGTGCTTACTCCACTTACATTGTGGTGATATTTGTCACCAAACTTGTCACTTAAGTTGTCACATAGTGTGCGGCAGGCTTATGTTCTCTCCTTAATTTTATTGTGTGCTCTTAAAGTACATATCAGTGATTTTTTATCAGTATAAGAATTTGTTAGCCTGTTTTCTTCCTAAGATCATCTAATTTGTGAGTCAGGAACACTGTACTATATTGGGTATGGAGTATGATTTGACAATAAAGAAAGAGGTACCTACCTGTAATAAATAGTTGGGTATATAGATCGTCATTTTACCACCAGCACATTGGGTTTGTATAATTTTATGAAGATTAACCTTCATGTCATTTGAATCAAACAACTGATTTCTTTCCTTCTTTGATTCTTCCCCACCTAGTAAAATATTCAGGTAGCAATAAAATCCATCCTCAAAAACATCTTTTATTTTGGTTTAAAAATGTAATTTTTGTTTACCTGATTAAATAATAGTTACTGTTAAAGAAATGAACCAGGGGGTATACAGAAAATAACTTTTATGACCACGCTCCCACTGACAAGGTTTTCGGCTAGAACTGTATGCATAATTTTGCATATAATAAACAGAACAAACTTTTCGGCAAGAACTGTATGCATAAATTGCATATAATAATCAGAACGAAAAGAATAGTTATGGTACATATGAAATGCAAGCAGGAGAATTTCATTTTAACATTAGCAAGGCCTATTCTTCAAATTGCAATTTTCTTGGGTCCTTTGTTTTTACACTATCAATTTGTAACAGCACCCAATTTGGTTTTCTTTTTGCACCCTGATATTACAAAGTATACTGAGATTAAAGTCTGAGATAATCAAGTCTAGTGTTTTACTTAAACAACAACTGAGGTCAAATAATATTGACTAGTATAGGTCATAAACTACAAATAGTAACAAATATATAACTCATACCACTTGATGGCAGAATAAGTTTAATCTGATTAGCAACTTTGATGGATATATATGTTTCCACAGCAGCAATATATTTCTCAGCCCATTCTATTAGTTTATCGCCTGTTAAATTTGTCATTATTTCTTGTCTTGATGCCACCGTCTGCATGCGAATATCCTTTAAATCAGCCTCAGCGTCCGTCTGAAAGTATAGACATTATTAAAGTACTACTCTGTTAACCTTAACTTACACCAAACACACATTTATAAAATATAAAATACCTGTCATCCTAGCTACTATCTATAGATATACAATGGTGCATCCCTGCTAACAGAATTGTTTGCAGCATTATTTTGGTTGATTAAGAATGTTATTTGGTATGTCTAGTAAAGTAAAATAGAAAAAATACATGCATTTTCTTGTTTGACTTCTGCTAGTACAACCTTTATGTAATAATGTATACTGTATTGTTGTATATGATTTTTGTTTATGAATATTGTCCAAAGTGGATGTTTTGATGCAAAAAATAGACCTATCTATTACAACAGACCCAATTCATAGATATATTACAACCATTGTGAGAGAAAAGATTTTGAGAGAGAGAAGGTTTAGCATCCACTCAATTCAACTTACATCATATGCTATATCTTTAGTTCAATAATTCAAATGGGGCAGAGCAGTGGGTATATTGATAACAAATTGTATTATTTGATAACGATTCACAACATCCTATGTATTTACACAGAAATATTTAATCATATACTAGCTTAGCTAACCGGAATTGCACCAGCGAATGTCTTTATTTTTATATTGAATCAAAAATTTGACAAAAAAGAAGCTTTCCTCCAAGTAATGGGTCTGATTCATTCATGTTAAAAGATTTCTCCCCGAAATAAATAACATTCATAATAAAGCAAAAAAACAGTAATTGTCAATTACATCACTAAATACATGTACTGCACCAAATACAAAATGAATAGCACCATTCAATGTCTTGTAAAAAATGTATAATTTCAACCATTTGATTTCCAATAGCAAACAAAGAAAGAAGAAATGAACTGAAATGAGAGAGATTTTGCCTGGACAGCCGCACTACAGCCTACACTTATATCGAAGTCCAACTGTCAAGGATTGTTTAAGAGATCACAGGACCTCTGTTTTTCATCCCATCCAAACAACTATATATCGTCCTTGCCAGGCCCTCCAAGGAAGCTAATCAATATAAACCTCCTTGGTTTGTTTTTGTATCTTACTCTAAGTTCAATATCTTGGAAATATCAAATACTGTTTAAATCAATCAGTTTACATACATGTATGGCAAGTAAAAGAAAGAAAAAATAAAAACAATGTAATAAAAAAATTACTGTCAAAAACATATGTAAAATGTAATATGATGAAAGTCATAATGGGTTAGAAACAATAGGGCTATTCATTAAATATAAGGAAGATGTAATAAAAATGGAAACTTATGTTCCTTTGCTTTTCGTCATCCTTAACTAATTATAGTTCATTGGCTTGTGATAAACAAATTCTTTTTTTTCACTCCACATTGTCAAAGGTGAAATTTTGCATAAACTATCTGTCGAAATATTATGCTTCGCACATGGGGTACAAACGATGACCCACAATAAAAGACACAATATAACTCACCACTATGTCAATCCATCCTTGAATCTTGCGACTTCGGATCTTCCATTTTATGTGGTTTGGGGACTTCAAAATGAGGTAGAAATCTTTAGTTAGTGCTTCGTTGTTAAAAGAGGTGATTTCTAGATCTATTTGGGCCTCTGAGGTGGATGGCTGAGGTGCTTGTTGTAATTCAATGATATACACAGGCCTACAAAATAAACATAATTCATGTAGCAACATGGCAATCATAAAATTTCTAGATCTTTGTAACAATATGCACAGACAATAAGAGTTTGAATAGGTTTATGGCACAAGATTTCCCAGGCAACGTTAAGAATGTAAGCATGAGCAATTATCAAATTTAATCAATGTCCAAAATGTGACACAACCCTCTGCTAACTGATTAACATGATGAAAAAGATTGGCTTTGGTCTGTTAATTAGTTTATTGCTACCCGTTTGTATATAACCATCTATAACAAGTTTAATTGTATCATTACTTGATAACGGTAAGAGTACCCTCATTGAAATGTTGCATTGAATAAACCTAGTAAATTTTATTCATAAAAGTTTTCTGTTTTCATGAAAAAGATTGTTAACCCTAATGCAATTTTTTCCTCCTGGAAATAGTTTTGCTAATCATGTACATGTAAGTTGCTTAACCCCATTTTAGACATCTAATAACAGTTTATTAGGGAAAGTTAGCAGCAAACATCTGAAGGGAAAGCCTTATGTGTCAACTTAGAATACAAAAGCAGAGCTAGACTTACTTCGACAAAAAGTGTCGTCTGCCTTGTGTGGTACATCCTGTTATAGTCTGATAATCTTTATATGATGTCATTACAAACTTTGTTTCACTTAAATCATTCAGATCACAATTCCTTCCTGATTCGGCTTCTACAAATAAAGTGGGATTTTTATACAATAAGAAACAGCATTCACATACCAGTTCACCATTTTGAGATTTCAAAATTAATATGCCACCCAAACAATGTGGAAATTTTTTTAACATTGTAATCAAGATGGGTTCCAGACTATTGTTTAACTATGCAATATCTAATTCAAAATGAAGTGAAATGGGGATTTGATGTCTTCCATTTCTGACCAACTGGGCTAATGGAAACCAGCATACACAATGTAGCGTATTATGAGGGAATGTTTGCCAAGAAAGCAATGCTTCGATTTACTATTCTTTAAATTTTTAGGGGAGTTTTAATCTGCTCCCAATGTTCTACAAGGCACCTCACTTTTTGTCCCATCTGAAATCTGAATAACTAAATGTTTTTCTTTGCCATGCCTTGCCATGTACCTTTGACAAGTGGAAACCAGACTGGAAAATACTGAGGAACTGTCTCAGCTAACATCAGGATTGAACCCGAAACCGTCTCCTTATTGAGCAAGTGTTGTACTAATTACCAAGCCACTGTTGCTCCCATATACAATTCATAAAGTCAAATTACCTGTTCCAACACGAAAGAATATACTGGTCCCTTCTACTTCACTGTAGGTTGTCACTGCTTTGAATCGCCGTCTGGCCCAATTTACTAAATCAGTCTTGTTGATATTCTCCTTTATGGGCATTTTACGCCCTCTCACTTTAATAACAGACTTCTTAAACCTTATACTTGAATGACTTGGAACCTGAAAAATAAAACATAATTATTTACTTAACACTGTAACACTGTTCACCTGAGTATATGTTTATTTATGTAAATATGTTCTGTCTGCTATTTTTTTGTTATTACATGTATGTTATTATATAAAATCTAATTGTGTCACAGCCCAGATGCTCTATAAAATTATTATTACATTACAAAGCAATATCTTTTTAATCAGTAAAGACCATCATTGTAAATCAGATAAAGGTCAAATTGTCCGGTTTAGGGTTTCAGGCTTCTAGATATTTGTTCACTGGTTCCATGGGCATGAAGTGACTTAAAGATTAAAGGGTCATATCTGCATCACAGGTCTAGGTTCATAATGTTTATGAGCATAAATTCCTTCCAAAAAACACAAAATATACTGTACAGTACAAGCCAAATTAAATTGGCATAATATTTTCAATTTAAGGAGACATTTTTGATAAAAAAATTATGCTAAGATGTGTTAATTGACCTGCTTTTTTCAGACCGAAAATGTTCAAGGCCAAGACATAGTATTAAATTTTACAATTTCTTTGAGCAATATTAAGTATTCTCAAATTAGTGTAAAACCAAACTCTGTTTACCAATAAAAATATGAAATCAAAGGGATGTTTTTATATTTGCAAAATAAACCCAATATCTTCTGTAACTTTAAATGGCATAGGTTCGAAATTATATAATATGGTATTGTAATCATAATACATATTTTCATCGTCATAAATAAGAATAAGTCGAATGCCTTTGAAAAAAATTCAGGGGTTTGTTTTGAATCTTTTTCTATGATCCTCATATCTATTCTTGTTTGGCATAAATAAATACTGGTAACCTCTTACTCCATTAGAGTACAGAAATAACCCCAAATATTATGTGATACATTTAGTGCCAGAAATATTAACATTATTACAATAGTAAGGGTGTAGCAAATTGCCAGATTTTAAGCAAGAATAACTTAATGGCATCTCAAAAATCATATTTAGGGTACAAATTCTACCATTATTTTACCACCAGAAAGGTCATAGCATTTAGCAAGCCATCTGGCTTTGTGACAAAAATGCTTTCAATATATATCTGTAAACCTAGTTTGCTATCTTATCTGTATACTACACTTATAGTACACTACCTAAAATCAAGTTGAGGTAAATAGGAGAGAAAGAGAGAAATGGGGTTTAATATCGACTCAACACAAACTAGGTCATTTCAGAATAACATACATGTATGATACAATTTTATTTCAATAATATGCTTGCTTATTGGAGTCTTTATCACTTTATCAGCGGGGGGGAAACTGAGGAACCTGGAGTAAACCCAGGAGTACCGATCGTACTCATTGTCATGTACCAGAGTGGGATCGAAACAACACCACTTGACTCAATGACAGATCTTATGATCTAAAGAACAGGTTTTAGACCAGTAACCCAACATGCAAATTGACTTCTAGTCTGTGCAATACGTAGTTCAAAGTTTTATTTTTTCTTTATTTAAATTCTGTCCTTGATCTGGTAATTGTATAATATAAATTCTAGTTATGCTGCACCATTTATGCCAACCAATTATTAATATTATAGTGTCTGCGGGGTCGTTATAAAAAATTTAATAATTGAAATAATTACTTTGATAGTGAGTTATTGTGGGTTTTTTTTAATACTTGTTATTAAAGGAAGTCTTACCGCTAATGTATTTTTTACACCAACTGCCTCAAGTTTTATATTAACTTATTACAATGAAATGAAAGTGTGTATTACTATTAGTCTCAATCATTTTGTCTCAAATTTTGGAGCCCAAAATCGCTATAGCATGCTTTTATTATCTAAAAGTATGGTAGACACCTCAAACTTTTGGAAGGAAGAAAACAACTGCTTAACTGGAGGATTATTTAGTTTACCAACGATCACAATGATCAACAACACTTCTTTTCTACATAATTAGATATAGAGGATATTTGTCGTTTTAGAGTGAATAACATATTTTATTTCATCGAGAAGCAAGAAAACTACGCATTCGTGAAAATATAAACGTTTTCTTGCTTAGAGATGAAATAAAATATGTTATTCACGACAAAACGACAAATGTTCTTATTATTTTATGATTTTACAATCATTTTAGGTAAAAACAACATGGACTACTGCTAGCCAGTGGAATAACACTTTTATTTCACTGATAAAACGCGGTATTCCACTACTGATCATAAAATAAATAATCTTATTACACATTCACAACCTCAAGAAATTAGTATGGGAAAAATTTTCCTGCAAATCTGTCTGTCAAAAGAATGAATACAAATATAAAACAAGCCAACAGTGAGGCTGATGTCCCCCGCCGAAATTGCAAAATAAATAGATGACACATATTAATTAATCGCACATTTATTTTTTTCACTAAGTTTCATCACTCTCTATCAGATAGAATCAAGATTATCTTGTCCCAAACCATCGACAAATGAAATCGATTAGCTCTGCTTAGCTTCAGCTCGAAATGTTAATTATTGAACTCAGTCAAGACATTCACCTAATGAACATCTGCATATACATCAAGTTTAAACATTCACCTAATAGACACCTATGCCAAGTTTGAACATTCTACCTCAATTAGAAGGAGAGTTATTGTGTTCCAAAGTTTCTACCAATCAAATTGCTTATCACTCTGCTTACCCTCAGCAAAAAATGTTCATTATCGAACTTAGTTAAGGTATTCATATAATAAATCTATACACCAAGTTTCATCAATCTCACTTAATTAGAACTAAAGTTATCGTGTCCCAAAGCATCAAGCAATCAAATTGCTTATCTCTGCTTACCCTAAGCGGAAAATGCTCATCTTCGAACTCCATCAAGGCATTGACCTAATCAACACATACACCAAGTTTGAACATTCTAGCTCAATTAGGAAGAGAGTTATCGTGCCCCAAAGTATCAACCAATCAAATTGCTTATCTCTGCTTACCCTAAGCGGAAAATGCTCATCTTCGAACTCCATCAAGGCATTGACCTAATAAACACATACACCAAGTTTGAACATTCTAGCTCAATTAAAAGTTATCGTGTCCCAAAGCATCAACCAATCAAATTGCTTATCTCTGCTTACCCTAAGCGGAAAATGCTCATCTTCGAACTCCATCAAGGCATTGACCTAATCAACACATACACCAAGTTTGAACATTCTAGCCCAATTAGGAAGAGAGTTATCGTGTCCCAAAGCATCAACCAATCAAATTGCTTATCTCTGCTTACCCTAAGCGGAAAATGCTCATCTTCGAACTCCATCAAGGCATTGACCTAATAAACACATACACCAAGTTTGAACATTCTAGCTCAATTAAAAGTTATCGTGTCCCAAAGCATCAACCAATCAAATTGCTTATCTCTGCTTACCCTAAGCGGAAAATGCTCATCTTCGAACTCCATCAAGGCATTGACCTAATCAACACATACACCAAGTTTGAACATTCTAGCCCAATTAGGAAGAGAGTTATCGTGTCCCAAAGCATCAACCAATCAAATTGCTTATCTCTGCTTACCCTAAGCGGAAAATGCTCATCTTCGAACTCCATCAAGGCATTGACCTAATAAACACATACACCAAGTTTGAACATTCTAGCTCAATTAGGAAGAGAGTTATTGTGTCCCAAAAAGTGTGACGGACAGACAGACAGACAGACAGACGGACGAACCCATTTTAATAGTCCCCTGCTTTCTTCGAAAGGCGGGGGACAATAACTCTGTCTAAAAGATAATAATTTGAACCTGATCACAAAAACTATCATACCTACATGTATTTCTTGAATTTCTAATACAAGTGAATCAACAATACCAGAAATTATTCTATGATTGAATATACACGATAATTCAACATGGAACCTTAATACAGATAAAAACCTGTATTGTAATTTTCGTTACAATATTCTCTGTTTAATGTTTTGCAGCCTATTCTCTACTGATTATTCGGCACACTTATGTTTCATTCTCCAGGGCCTGTCTGAATTGTGAAATCTTAAATACAGACCCAAGTCTTGGTTTTCGTCCTAAGAACATATCCATATCGATACATAATTACTTTTTTTAATTCCCATTTTTTCCAAACGAAAACAAGACAATTATTTAAAACCCTTTTTTTTCTTTAGTAAATGTTATTAGTTATCAGATAGAAATTTCCTTTTTAATCCAATTCACTTTTGTCCTGTCCATCATGGTTACCAATAAAGACAACTCGATTATTTTTAGTTCATTGCATTTCTAAAGTTGAATGTAGGCCAATTAAGTAATATCAAAATTATTATTTTGAAACTACTTCATTGTTTGTTTTTTCGGGGTTTAAAGAAAAAGAAAATATTGACGTGATGTTACATACATATTATAATTTATGTTATAATCTATTGATTTTAGGTTGCAAGCAGAAATACTTTGCTATAATTTTTTTTAGAAAAGAGCTGAAAACTCTTTTTTTTTCTTAAAACATTCCTTAACTTTTTATGATCTACAATTTTTACGCTACATAAGGTCATAAAAGATAAAGATTTTGATACTTTTTTTTTCAGATATTGATTACAATTCAATGAGAGGAGGGTTGGATGGCCGAATGGTTAGCATAAGACCTGTCATTGAGTCAATTGGCGTGGTTTCGAATCCCCGGTTGTACGTGACTAGGAGGCGGGTCACCTATCCAACCTCGTGGGGTTTCTCCGGGTCCTCCGGTTTCCTCCCACTGCTAAAGACCCCTACGCCCAAGCGATTATTGAAATAAAATTAAACCATGTTAGTCCCAAAATGACCTCGTTTGTGTTGAGTAGACGTTAAACCCATTTCTCTCTCTCATATTGTTGAGATATGTCAGTAGGGTTTGAATGATTAACTATTCCACAAGGCCTACAATCACCATGGAGTATTTGTCCCTGATTTTCCATCAATGAACACTCTCTTTTTTTTAAGGCTCTCTTTTTATTGAATAAGCACCCACTGTTTATTACAGAAAGTGAAATTGTACCTTTTTTTAAAAATCAGATTT